ACTTGTACAAGGTAACACAAACAAACCTGCCGAGAGACCTGATGCCGTCGCTACAAAGTAGCGGCATTGCTCATATTCGTTGACTCTGCATTGCTGCCGGCCACAGCGACGAAATCCAATGCGTCGCATGCGCGCGCTGAGTGACCATCCAGAAGTAGTCACGAGGCGCTAGGTCAGCATTCCGACGCCGGGGCTGCCGCGGCATATTGGCTTTGGATATGTTAGCTATTAGTTTAGATTTTCAGTTTTTAAGATTGGATTAAACAGCGCACTTCGTGCGTGAATAAGTATTCTGACTAAAAATTCTAAGTGTTTCATTGCTGCACCCGTCGGTCAGCATATGGTATTATCGGTACTGTGAAAACTTGTTAATTGGCGACCAACGGAATTTGAATAAATTTTCCCACGCGTAAAAAGTGAAAATACAAAGGGCAGCAACAAAGATGAGCGGGTTACACTCAACTCAAAACAAAAAATACAGCCCCAGCTAAACTAAAGCTGAGACCGAGAAAAATAAAAACAAACAAAACGAAACAAAACAGCAACATCGCTGGTCAGCAACAGCTCATCAACGCACCACGAAGGAAATGGAATCTCTGATTGAAGACATAAGATTCATGTAAGTGAGCGATCAACTGGTCAAAGTAAATAAATTTGTTGATTTTTAAACCTCTATATCGACTAACGAGGAAATTTAAAAAATATTTATATATAAAGAAATTTATAATAATTTTATTTCTGTCAGCTGTTGTGTCCGGACAAATAAGGAGAGTTAAAAAATTGCATGTGCCCCTTTACATTTGTCATTTAATGTCTTGTAGCAGTGACGAAGAACTTATATCCAGTTATACGGAACTAAAGTTGGCCAAAAAAAAATCAAAAATGGAGACAAAAACCGTCGACGAAATTTTTGAAACTTCTGTCTGGTCTGCACTCGAGCACAGGCACGCACATTTGACAAAAAAATTCGTAAGCTAACGCAATAGGTTCAAAGGGCGAGAATATCTGTCCTGTGGGACACAGGTTGAAGTTTATTAACCTATTACCGTTAACCAGGCAGTCAGATGTGACGAGCCTTTGGATGTAGTAAAGTCTACACCGGAATTTGACGGTAGGTAGGAAAATTACGTCTCGTGGAGACAGACAGCCACCGCAGCCTACGAAATTTTACGTGGGTAGTTCATGGCACTATCAGGCGGTCGCCATTATTCGTAATAAGGTAAGGGGCTCTGCGGACGCCACACTAGCTTCCGTTATCACAGTCCTAAATTTTAAAGCAATTTCGGCTTGGCTTGATTTTACGAACGCAGACAAATGGCCAAGAGACCTCACAAAACGCTAAGAATCAAGGTAGATGTGGCAAGAACCCTCACTACACTAGGAGTCAAGCCAAGTCGGGCAGCTCTAAACAACGCCCTTATCTACAGAACACTCAAGGTCAGACACCAGAGGCTATGGAAATAGTTTCGTCTTCACAGTACAGACAATCGACGAATTATCAGGGTCATAAAAATGCAGAGCCCATGGAAATAGAACAGTCGTCTCGCTCCATGCAAGCTGCTTATAAGAAAAACCAAAAGGTGCACTTTACATCCCAAAGTATATCCGAAGACAAGTCGTATGAAAACCAAGCACAGTCCGAAGTGACTACTGTTGAAGACGAATTGTCTGATGCCAACAGCTGCAAATTTTTAGGGAAACAACCTGCTTCCGTACATAACTCGTATGGTGGCGGGGATAAATATCAGGCTTCTCGTAGACACAGGCTCCTCTAAAAACTATATTAAACAAAGGCCTTTGCGGACCCAAAAGAGTCCCTAAACAACTTCTCACGAACGGGATAATCTGGCTCGCGACAAACTCCGTGATATACTTCTGCGCACATCCACACAACACAAACATATGTATGTTTTTAGATCTCGGGGTTTTCGAGAAGCTATGCAGGGAGAAAAAGATGCCCACAAGGCCGCAAAGCAATGAGTGAGAGCGAGGCACACTCTGCACACACATATGTATTTGGGCTGTAAGGATTCAAAAATAACATACGTATATTAAGAAATAGCATCAGCCGCAGCGACGTCGTGCGCTGAGCGGGATGCGGCTTCATACTGAACGTTCGGCTTTCGAGGTCGGCGTTCGGCTGCCACTCTCAGCAGTCTTACACTATCTGGGCACACTTAAATGGGCGCAGGTACCCATGGGGCTCACTCGTTGCGATTTTTCGTGTCCCGATTTTTTTGCTGTTTGACGTACCAATGCATTGTATTTGATGCCGAATGTATACATAGTTTAAGGGTCCGAATGGTTGCCTCTATTTTTTAATAACATTTGCACAAAACCATTTTTTAATGAGTTCAGGATTTAACAACTTTTTATTGAAATAAAATTATTTTTAGCTGGAGAAACCAAGTACACCAGTTTGCAGAATGATTTATAGACAAACCGATGGACATTGTTCAGAGAAAAAATTTAGGGGAAAATAAACATTGGAAGCGTAGAAATATAAAATACACAATCTTAGTTCCTATTAGCATTATTAAGTTAAATACATACCTTAGTCCAATTGATGGGTACTCAATAAACCCAGTTCTCTCCTGGGCCTAACAATATTCATAGTTGTCTAATCAAGGAGTGTAGTTCTTCCCTTGTTTATCCATTGCTAAAGCTTTTTAATCTATCCCCTGAATTTTCTGTCTTTCCATCTCTTTGGAAAGAATCTTATATCATTCCTCTCCACAAGAAAGGTGGAAAGTCTGATATACTAAATTACAGGGGCATTGCAAAACTGTCCGCTATTCCTAAGTTATTTGAAAAAATAATCACTTCGAATTTGCAGCATTTCTGCAAATCATTTGTTTCCCCTTTAAACATGGATTCGTAAAGAATCGGTCAACTACGACCAACCTGCTTGAGTTTACTTCCTTGGTAAATGATGCTTTCCTTTCGAAAATGCAAACTGATGTCATTTACACTGACTACAGTAAGGCGTTTGACTCCGTGCACCATGACATTTTACTTTTTAAACTTGACCGAATAGGTTTCCCTCCGTCTCTTTTGCTTTCGATTAGTTCTTATTTAAAATGTAGGACCCAAAGAGTAGTGATGAGGCTGACTACCTCTCAACAGGTTCACGTTACTTCTGGTGTTCCTCAAGGTAGTCATCTTGGACCTTTACTCTTTACTCTTTTTATAAATGATCTCCCCTCTGTTATATCCCATGCTCGTGTACTCATGTATGCGGACGACGTGAAACTTATTCTATCATACACTTACCCCCTACATCATTCTCGTCTTCAAGACGATTTGAACGCTATGCAACTTTGGTGTTCGGCCAATCAATTGCATCTGAATTGTTCAAAGTGTATGTTTATGACATAGAATCGTATTACACCTTATCTTGTCAGTTATACAATCGACAATACTCCATTGCAACGTATACTAACAGTTAAGGATCTAGGCGTTCTTTTTGATTCTAAACTGTGCTTCAATCTTCACATATATACCATGTGACGCGGAGTCACAATAGACCCACCAATATTATAAATAATCATAAATAATCATAGGATAAGTGTCAAACAAATGAAGCTGAAATATGAAATAGGAAACTTATCATTAAGAATAGAAAGGAGTGGATTTATTAGGAATTAAGAGGAGCCAATTATAATGTAAATTTAATCATAAGCAACTCTGACTCCTAAAACGTTAACAGTAGGAGTAGAAGAGAGCGAATGCTTGCGCGAGAGTTTTCGCCGAAGAGCGAAAAGGTCGAAAAAGGGTCTTGAGCTGCTGCCGCCGATCAGCAGCTTCACTTTGGAACCGGCAAGCGGTTAGGTAGGAACAGCCTAGAATTGACGGTGCAGCAAGTTTAGGAAAGTTAATAAAGCAAATAAAACGGAAGTGAACGTACATGAAATAAAACAGTGTTTGCGTTGTCTGTGTAGCAATTGTGCGTTTGTAGGCTTTCGTCTTGCAGCGGCGCGATCCCAGCAGCACCCATCACGCAGGCCAACTCTAACCTAACCGCAGCGGAGCGATCCCGGCGGCTTCCCCTTTTCCTTAACAGAATAAGCAACCACTCTGCGGCAGAGTCATCCCGACGGCTCCATACCCCCCTTTTCAACTTCGCGTCTCGGCAAACATTTTTCTTATGTTTTTTTTTATGTGCTCACCGGTGCAAAACATAATAAAAATTAACGAAAACTAATAATAATGAATCAACAACCGAGTGAAAGTGACCACAGTGGAGTGACATAGAACCACGGTAAAAGAGTGGACGCGTGTAGCAGAAGGGTACCGTAGGCCGAGGCCGGTACGCAGCGTCACTTGTTAGAGTGGTCAACTAAAAGTGCGACTGTTTTTTTTTGTGCGGATAAAATAAAGTCGAATAAAATTCATTGAAATAAAATAATAAAAAAAAAATTAATAAAAATTAAGAATAATTAAAATAAAAATAATTAAAATACAATTAATTAAAGTCAAAATTAATTAAAATAAAATTAATTAAAGTCAAAATTAATTAAAATAAAATTAATAAAAATTAAAAATAATTATAATAAAAATAATTAAAATAAAATTAATGAAAATAAAATTAATTAAAATAAAATTAATTAAAATAAAATTAATTAAAACAAAATTAATTAAAATAAAATTAATTATAGTCACAATAACTGAAAATAAAACAAATAAAATAAAATAATTTGAAATTAAATAAATTAAAAATTAACGTGATTTAAATAAACGGAAATAAAACAAAGACATTAAAAATAATTTCGAAAAAAAAGCAGAAGGAAGTTATTAAAACGAAGCGGTCGAGGAAGACTGGATATCCGAACGGAGTCACGAAGTCAGAGTCAGACTCTGGCCCACGTTCAAACACCCCCGGCTTGCTCGAGGTCCCGGCGATCCCGAACTACAAAGCCCGTGATGCGAGCGACAGGACGAAGGAATCGGGGACGCCTCGTGTTACTGAGGGCGTCCCATTAACACAGACGCGCCTACCCATGGAGTATAGGGGGCACTGCATCGTTCCGGAACAGGTCAGGAAGTGGGGTATACGTTTCGATGGGCAGGCTGATCCGCTGTCCTTCGTAGAGGCCATCGAAGATCGGGCCCTATCTTATGAAATTGACACCGATAGGTTGCCCCGGGCAATGAACGAGGTCATGATCGGCGAAGCCGCTCGCTGGTTCATGACAAGTGGGCTAAGAGAGGTGTCATGGAACGAGTTTAAGGAGGGATTTTTGGATTTCTTTTTGCCTCCGCGATATTTTGAACTGTTAGAAGATGAAATCCGGGCTCGCCGTCAACGAGAGGGCGAAGGATTCAAGCAGTATGTGGTGGACATCAGGGCGCTGATGCACCACGCTGGCTATGGTCCGGAGCGAGAATTAGCGAGAATATACGACAACGCAGCCCCAGAGTATAAATTGTATGTGCGGAGGCAAGATTTCGCGTCGCTGTCGAAGCTCATACAATTAGCGGTCGAGTATGAGGGTATAAAACGGCAGGGTCAACAGTATCCCCCGGGTTCACGATCTCGATTAGGTAATAGCATGGGCACGTATCTAGGCGAGGGGCAAGGACAGGCGACGACAGGCTTAAACAACCCGTTCAGGGTAGCTTCATCGCCAGTATTACCGGTGCCAAGGGAAGAGCCCGTTAACCGAATGATCGGCCAAGAAACCGGGGGAACGGCCAGGAGACGCCCGATATGTTTTCGATGCGGGCAAGAGGGGCATTTTAGGAGAGACTGTCCCAACCCGCAGGTAGTCTTTTGTGCGCAATGCGGAACCAGGGGGGTGAGCAGCCAGGAATGCTGTAGACGACCGGCTCAGGGAAACGGACAGAGGCACCATCCGGACCGGGAGCGGATGGAAAGCGATGTCAGCGGAGCCCGGAGGCAGTAGATGTTTTGCGAGTCGAGGGGGGTCGTGTCGTCGCGACGATCAAGATCGGTGGAGAGGACTACGCGGCGACAATCGACACCGGCGCCACTCGATCGTTCATCAGTGGTGCCTGCGCGGCGAAGGTAGCGAAGGACGTGGAAATTAGGGAAGTACAAACGAGGATACGGCTGGCGGACGGGTCAAGATTAGACGTCGCGCGGATGCTGCACGCGGGAGTAAGTTTAGCGGGGCGTACGATAAGCGTGCCGCTACTAATCATGACGCCGATGCTAGACCAAGTGATCCTAGGTATGGACTTTCTGCGAGCGATAGGTACGACGATTCGTTGCGGGGACAGCGAGATGACGTTAGGGACGCCGGAGAGACGGGAAATTAGGAAAGGGGGACTGGCTGCCCTGTGGAGCCGACGGAGGCAAGGTTAGGGATTCGGCAGGGGGTAGCGGTCCGTCCCGCGGAGAGAATCCCGGAGGCACGATCGAATGATCGAGGTATGTCCAGGGTGCCAGTGAAGGTGCGGTCGGACGATAAAGAGGTGTCCAGGGTGCCAGTGAAGGCACGGTCGGACGATAAGGGTATGTCCAGGGTGCCAGCGGAGGTACGGTCGGACAGCGAGTTGTCTAGAGCGCCAGGAAAGGATCAGAAGCAGAACCGTAAGGAGGACTCGACAGGGGTTAGGGTAAAAGGACAGGCGACGACGGAGGTCAGCAGAGGCAGGGATTCAGGGCCTATGTGTGGATCAGCACCTAAGAGCGTGAAGCTGGGGAGGGTGGCTGGATCCAACGGGCAGGAGGATCAACCTCGCACCTTAGAAGGAGTCGTGCTAGCGGGGGAACTAGTCACGGGAGAAAACCCGGCCGCGAGAACTAGTCACGAGGCTAGTAGTGGTAAAGGGTCTGGAGAGGGAGAGGAGATCTGCCAGCAGACTTGGAGCCCAGCCTACAGGTGCTTCTGGAGGCAGAGTTGGCGCGATTCGAGGGGTTGAAAGGCGTGTCCCACATAGCTAGCCATCGGATCGTAATGAAGGACAACGAGCCCATCAAGCAGAGGTACTACCCGAGGAACCCAGCGATGCAACAAGTCATCGACAAGCAAGTGGAGGAATTGCTCCGGACGGGAGCCATCGAGCCGTCCCGAAGCCCGTACAGTGCGCCGATCGTGCTGGTGAAAAAGAAGACAGGGGAATGGCGAATGTGCATCGACTATAGGCAGCTCAATGCACATTCGATCCCGGACGCATACCCAGTACCCCGGATAAACCACATTTTAGAGCGCCTACGGCACGCGCGCTACATATCGACGCTGGACCTGAAGCAAGGATACTGGCAGATCCCCATGGAGGAAGGGAGCAGGCAGTATACCGCGTTCACAGTTCCAGGACGGGGACTATACCAGTGGAAGGTGATGCCCTTTGGTCTGCACTCGGCCTGCGCCACGTTCCAGAGAGCACTGGATTCGGTGATAGGGCCGGAAATGGAGCCCCACGCTTTCGCCTACCTGGACGACATCATCGTCATAGGCGCAACCAAGGAGCAGCACGTAGCCAACCTGAGAGAAGTGTTCCGACGACTGAGGGAAGCGAACCTAAAGCTCAACATAGAGAAATGCCATTTCTTCCGGAAGGAGCTGGTATATTTAGGACACGTAGTGAGCGGCGAAGGAATACGGACGGACCCCTCAAAGGTGCTCGCGATCCAGAGGCTGACGGCCCCATCGAACTGCAAGGAGCTGCGTCAGTGCCTCGGGATGGCATCGTGGTATCGACGCTTCGTCCCCAATTTCGCGTCGGTGGTGCAGCCGATGACCGCTCTCTTGAAGAAGGGAAAGGTATGGTCGTGGGGCGTGGAACAGCAGGAGGCGCTGGAGCAACTCAAGGAGCGACTCACAACCGCGCCGATCCTCGCTTGCCCGGATTTCAGCAAGAAATTCGTGCTGCAGACGGATGCGAGCGATTACGGTCTCGGCGCCGTCCTGACACAGACCATCGACGAGGAGGAGCGAGTCATCGCTTACGCCAGTAGGAAACTTCTGAAGGCGGAGACCAACTACTCAGCCACGGAGAAGGAATGTCTGGCTATAGTTTGGTCAATCCGCAAGTGCATTGAGATGTTACTTGGAGGGGTACAGGTTCGACGTCATTACCGACCACATGGCACTTAAATGGCTCAACTCCATAGAGAGTCCATCCGGAAGGATAGCTCGATGGGCCTTAGAGTTGCAGCAGTTCCAGTTCGACGTGCAGTACCGACGGGGGAAGTTGAACGTGGTAGCCGACGCACTGTCCCGGCAGCCACTGGAGGCATGTCGTCAGGCCGTGGAGGAGCAGCACCCATGTGGATGGACCGCGTGTATGCTGGAGAGACTCGCCAAGGAGCCCGCAAAGTATCCGGACTATGCCGTCGAGAACGGCCAACTTTATCGCCACCTGGGACACAGAGCCGACGACGAGGACTACGTGCCATGGAAACTGTGCGTCGCCAGTAACCAGAGGCAGAGAGTCCTGCAGGAGTGCCACAATGCCCCGACGGCAGGGCATCAAGGGGTGAGGAAGACGATATCCCGACTAGCACAGAGGTACTACTGGCCAGGGATGTTCCGGGACGCCGCACGACATGTGAGGTGCTGCGAGGTGTGTCAGAAGTTCAAGGTGGAACAGGTGAGACCGGCGGGACGAATGCTGACGCGCCAGGTGACGGAACCATGGGCCATATTATGCGCAGATTTCGTGGGGCCGCTACCACGCTCGAAGCACGGTAACACCATGTTGCGGGTATTCCACGATGCGTTTAGCAAGTGGGTGGAACTGGTCCCTTTGAGGCGAGCGACGGCGGAACATTTGCAGAGGGCGTTCCGGGAACGGATACTTTGCCGATTCGGAGTCCCTCGGAAGTTTGTGTGCGACAACGGAGTGCAGTTTACAAGCCGAACATTCAAGGCCTTCTTGACTTCGATCGGCGTAGAGGTGCAATACACGGCGCCATACTGCCCCCAGGAGAACCCTACCGAGCGGACGAACCGGACGGTCAAGACGATGATCGCCCAGTTCATCGAAGGGCACCAGAGCTCGTGGGACGAGGTCCTACCTGAGATAGCGTTGGCGGTAAATACAAGTGTGGCGGACTCGACCGGATTTTCTCCCGCTTTCTTGGTACAGGGTCGCGAACCTCGTCTCCCAGCCGCTTTATACGACGAGGTTACGCCTGGGCCCGCCACTGTTCAGCAAACGCCAGGAGAAAAGGCCCAGCGTCTGAGGGAGGTGTTCGACATCGTCCGTCATAACTTGCAGCGTGCTTCCCAGGACCAGGGAAGACATTACAATTTGCGTCGAAGAGAATGGCGACCAAAGATCAATGAGCAGGTGTGGCTACGTCAGCATCAGCTATCGAAGGCCGCAGACGGATTCGCGGCGAAGTTAGCGCCGAAGTTTGACGGTCCCTACCGGGTCGTAAAATTCGTCTCGCCCAATATCGTGCGCTTGGCGCGTGACGGCGAGCGGAAGAGGCGAGTAGCTAACGTTGCCCAACTAAAGATATACCACGGACCAGGCCAAGAAGACCCCAGCGAAGATGGAGGGCCGAGAGACAAGCAGCTAAATGAAAAATAGATTAAGAACAATTTGTAATAACCCCTATGTTTAACTATTTATAAGAAAAGTCGTTGTGAGCTGCACCATAGGAACGTGTTAGAGCAATAGACAGGCCGAAGTGACACTAAGGGAAGGGGAACGGAATGGTCAAGGAGTTAAGTAGATGGTTTAAAATAGTTCGTATTTCCACAGGTAAAAGCGGAACCGATTCTGCGTACAGGACGGCAACGCGTTCGTTAGGGTGACCATCACCGACGCCCACAAGGTGATAATCACCCGCCGTCAACAAAGGGGGGGGTGTGACGCGGAGTCACAATAGACCCACCAATATTATAAATAATCATAAATAATCATAGGATAAGTGTCAAACAAATGAAGCTGAAATATGAAATAGAAAACTTATCATTAAGAATAGAAAGGAGTGGATTTATTAGGAATTAAGAGGAGCCAATTATAATGTAAATTTAATCATAAGCAACTCTGACTCCTAAAACGTTAACAGTAGGAGTAGAAGAGAGCGAATGCTTGCGCGAGAGTTTTCGCCGGAGAGCGAAAAGGGCGAAAAAGGGTCGTGAGCTGCTGCCGCCGAGCAGCAAGATCACTTTGGAACCGGCAAGCGTGAGTATCGGACGTGCATACTTAACGAAGGACAGAGTTTAGGGAACGCAAGTTAGCTGCCAGGTTAGGTAGGAACAGCCTAGAATTGACGGTGCAGCAAGTTTAGGAAAGTTAATAAAGCAAATAAAACGGAAGTGAACGTACACGAAATAAAACAGTGTTTGCGTTGTCTGTGTAGCAATTGTGCGTTTGTAGGCTTTCGTCTTGCAGCGGAGCGATCCCAGCAGCACCCATCACGCAGGCCAACTCTAACCTAACCGCAGCGGAGCGATCCCGGCGGCTTCCCCTTTTCCTTAACAGAATTAGCAACCACTCTGCGGCAGAGTCATCCCGACGGCTCCATACCCCCCTTTTCAACTTCGCGTCTCGGCAAACTACAAATTTCTTGTAGAGTGGACCTGGGTAAGACTGAGTTATCACCCCGGCCAAGAAGCTACTTTACAACCATCGTCAATGAGGCAAAAGGTGTACTTGGATTCATTAAACGATGGGCTAAAAAGTTTAAAGATCCTTTTATAACGAAACTTCTGTACATCTCTCTTGTTCGCCCTATCCTTGAATACTGCTCTTGCATTTGGTCTCCGCAGTATAACAACAGCCAGGATTGTTGAGAAGCAATTTCGCTTTTTGCCTTACGAGGTTTAAATTGGGAATCTAATCTTTGGTTGCCATCCTATTTCAGCAGGCTGCTTCTTCTTAATCTTCTGTTGTTAACCAACCGTAGCATAATTCTGGGTGTTGTCTTTCTACATAAGTTGATTGTTGGCGATATAGATTCTCCTTTTCTGTTAGGGCGTCT